TCTTCGAAACAACTTAATAGCCTATATTCTCCTCACATTTTATAAGCAGTTCATCATAAGAAACCCGATCATGCAATGCGTTAGTCGATCGAAAAAAAACCTATTAATTATAAAACCTATTAATTATTAATTATATTAATTATAAAACCAAAAACAAACTTTATAAGGTCTTTCTCCAGTATGAATACGAATATGTGCCTTCAAATAATGCTTCCTTCCCTTCTTTCCACAAAATTCACAAGCGTACTTTTTAACCAGATGTGCTTTCATGTGACTCAGCATATCACCGTTTTTAACCTCTTCTGTACAAGCTCTACAGCGGCCATGTTCTGAAATTAAGAACCGAAATCACGGTCAAATACACAACTCTTGTCATAGATCAGATTTTCCATCCCAGGATAACAGTAGTAAAATTGATTAAATTCAAAACAAATTTCCATCTCAGCGTAATGAAGACATTTTTTCATAACTCCAATTTCATGAAAATATTAAATAGAAATTTCCCTATATTTACTTGCTAAAGAATACAAATTTACCACCGTCTAGGTGCTGATTTATGAAATGCTCTTTTATTCCATCCTGGTCTTGTAATGTTACTTCATCAGGACACACTGCACAAGCAAGAAGCGAAGCGACACCCATCAGCAAGTCATCATTGGCTAATGCATCTTTATTCCGAATTGCCCGCTTTTTTTTCACATTCTTAAATAACTGTGACAAAAATCAAAGATCAATAAATAACGGCCAATCGTTTTTAAATATTGGAAAGATTAAAGTTGTTTAGTTTATATTCTTAAGAACCAACGAAATATCAAAAACTTCGATCTTTAACTTTACAAGTTTCATGTGACTTCTCAACGTCTCATTTGTCATGTATCTCTGGAGGAAAAAGACATTTCCAGTACGATTGTCTTACAATATAACAATCTCTGATTACAAAAGAAGTAAAAATTGTCAAAGTGACTCTAACAATTTGCAAGTATCGTTTAAAGAAGAAATGAAGGCAAACTAGACATACCGGACCAGATTTCAGAGGTACAGAAGAAGTTAGTGAAGAAGACAGAGAACTTCGTTTTGGTGGCACAGTAACGATGTTGAACTTTGGTGATTCTTCTGAATCAGCAATTTGAGCTGTTGAAGGAGTTGGTACTGGTTGAAGTAATGATACTTCTTTTTTTGATGCAGAATCTTCAGCCTCATTCGTAATTTTCAAAGACTGCATCGGATTCTGTTGTTGCATCAGAGCATACAACATTTCCAGCTCTTTCTCAAGCCAACCACGTTTTCTTTCCATCTACAATGTGAGCAAGATTAAACAAAAATGTGAGAATTCTCTCCTAAACCAAGAAGAATGCTAAAAATAATTTAAAATGAGTTGAAAAACAAACGAACTATTTTTTTTTTAACACCGGCCGTAAAAATAAAAGTAACAGGAAATAATTGCAGTCTAAAAGGCAAATATTCTATAAGGAAATATCTTGAACGGAAAATAAAAATATTCTGCAAGACTCAAGCATTCTAAAACTTCACAGTAATCTGTCAAATCATAGAACAATGCGAACTGTGTTTGGAACAAATTTGATTAAAGTAAAAAAGACAGTACTGAAACTAACTTGCGCTATTTGAGATTTCATACTCAGTGCATCCTTTTCCAACAATTCGCGCTGCCAACGCTCTTTCCACAAATCATTCTGCAAATCCCAAAAAAATGTTAGATAATATTTATGAGAAAAACATCATTAGCAATTTAACATGAAAAAAATGCAAACATTCATAATTTATAGACCAAAATACCAGTCAAATAGATCGAAAACACTTCGAAATATACTACGCCATATCCGAGTAAAAAAATTGAAAGAAATCCTAACTTATTCACCTAAACTGAAGCTCATACACTTAAAATCTGGTGGGAATGTTCTGTTCTCATGAATAATAACCGACAAGGAACAGACACTTTAGCACAATGACTAGAATTAATTTCAATACATAAAAGGAATAAAATGAAGATCCACATCTCGAGCGTCTCTCAAAAGAATCGCTATAATCTCTGTAAAGCTGTGAAAACACGGATGGATTACACTGAGAAATACGAAACGATATGAAATGGAATGAAAGAAAATTCAACAAAAAAGTTTATGTTCATTATCGTAAACGCAAAGTGAATTTTAAACTCAGTTACATGCTAAATTTCACAAATTTCGAAATAGAGTGAAAATAGCCCACCTGCAGATTCTGAATAAACATCAACAAGTGACTTTTCCATTCCGCTGCCGATGGAGTGCGCAGAGCGAGCCGTAGTGCTGATGGACCATCACCAGGAGTGATACAAAGTCGGATGAATAGACCCATTTCTTGCTCACCAATCAAGTTAATCATTGTACTGAAAAAATTGAACATTCAAACCAGAGTTTCAAATTTACAATTAGCTGATAATCGCTGCACTAAACTTCAAACCACACTTTTAAATTTTTAACCATCTTGAACTTGGACTTACAATCTTGGATCATCTGATGGCATATTTGCTCCCTCAATCATACTTTTTAGGATTGATGGTGTACGTTGTCCATAACGAAGTGCAACTTTGTCGATTTTTGAATCCATTCGACAGGAGTATAACAATGAAGGATCTTCACATGATGAAACCCAAAGAATATAAACGGTGTGACGGTTATCACCATTTACCTATGTATCAAATAAACAATAAAAATCTGTATCAAAAGCGATTTAAAAAAAAAAAAAAATCCCAGTTTTATGCTATATTATAGCAACTTGGTTTTGACAAAGGAAAAATATCCATGATGGTGGTCCTTCTCAAAAATGTAATGTCTTAGAAAGAACATGAAAAAGGACATTTTGAAAGGGAAAAATTTTATGCTTTAGAAGAGACACTTATGGGATTTAAACTCCGATTTCCGTTAATTCAATAATAATTTACCAATGTACTAGCTTCATCATCAGCATCTGCAAATGCTGTTTCGAAACGGAACGTGCATTTTACACCCCTGAAATATCTATCGTGATCTAATCAAATTTATTTTCCTAGAAATATCAAATTGAATTGAATTTGTGGGAGAGTTGCAGGAATCTTTCACATGACACGAAATACCTAAGTGAATTTTATATGCTTTATTATTTAAATGACATTCATTTATTTATTTACTGATCAATTAAATTCTTCAAAAATTTCCCAAAAAATAGAGAGTACAACAGTGAGAACAATCAGATTCCATCATATCATTTAAAGAAATTCGTGTACTCGTTTTAGGACTTACTTCAACCCGAACTGTACAGGAGCATTAGTTATCCAATAGCTGTCGAATGATTCGCCTGGTAAAACTGCTGAACTACGCAGAGCAGCTGCAGCAAAACTTACAAAATCCATGCTAAGCAAACAGCTCCCCCTGGACGGGTCTCAACCTGGAAAAATTTACTTTTAACAAATGCAAAGTGAGCAGGGAAATGTTTAGCTTCAAAGTCAAAAGATATTTATTTGTTCAAGTAACGATGGAAAAGAGGGAGGAAGAGACGTGCCTCAATGAACATACAGCACTTACACATTTGATCATAGAGAGAGACTGTTTGAAGGAAGCAAGGCAACTGAGGTAAGTATCAGATGCTAAAGAGGGGACCTTAAGGAGAGGCAAAACAACTTGTCACACAAGGATTGTAGGGAGAGAGAAAAAACACACAATCATCATCAAATTGTGTGAGGCCCTGAACAAACAGCAATAATAGAAGAGAGGGACTAGTTTAAACAATAAGGTGGTACAGAGATGCCAGCAGGACAGCTATCCTCACCGATACATATAGATACAGAGCCTTACAGTGAGGAAGAAAAAGGCATTCAAACTGCTATCGTTCTAGCATACAAAAGCTGACAATGACAAGAGATGCAAGGTGACACCACTCTAATAAGGAAAAGAAGTACTCAACGAGGGTGAGGAAGGAAAAGGCAAGATGACAAGTAACACTACTTCCCCGCCGGGAAAGGTAAGGATAGTGATTTCTGTAGTAAGCTTACATCGCTTGCTAACTCCTAGAGGAAGGGATACTATCATTGAAAGAGAGGGCAATGTCAAGTGACAAGGCATACTTTAACTCCTTCAATGACAATGTCACTGAAGAGTGACCGTTATCTGAGGAGGGAAGGAACTAACTAGATACAGGCATTACATCATCTCCATTAACAAATCAATACTGTGAGGGAGCAAAAAGTCTATGCCATCAGCCGAATAGGTAACATTTTCACGGACAGTGCGCATTGCATCTTAAACAACATTCTATGTTTTCACATCCTATTTATGCTATTATTTGTCAAATAATAGCATAACAATCTATACTCATATATATAGCTAACATGAAATATTTAGGCAATTAATTATTTCGTTATCATTCATTCAATTCAATTAATCTGATAATTAATCTTCCACTTGTTCCTCCCATTCTTCTAAACGCGCATATGAAATTAGGATAAACCTCAAAATATGCTAAAATTACCATTTCCTAGTTTTAACTTCACTGATCATTTTTAATGTTAGCGCACATCGAGTAGCACCACAACTTGAAGGAGCGCAACAGTCACACTTCATTGCCATTTTGGCGGTATGAATGAGATTCATATTTAGCTTCTTTAGAAACTAGGCTTTTGAAACGAAATCCGCTAGGTTACTATCTACTAAGCATTATGAATGTGACACTTCGTGGCTGTTACTTTTGTTATGGCGTACGTGGGCATACGTGTGACTGTCGTCTATGTGACGTACAGAGAGAATTATTCAGTTTCATGCGTCACTGATCCTTTTTAGAGAAAAGATTAACTGTTTAATTGGTTTAGATGCTTTTAAAGAAAATTGCAAAAGAAACTGTACTGAAACGTGTAGCTGTAGCAGAAGTATGCAGTCATTATAATTAATTTCGTTATTACTAGAATGTTGAATTGTAACGGAATATATAAATTTGAATTTCAGAACTGAGCAGAGAGGTAAGAGTCAAAAAGATTGATGGCTAGTCGACGAACGGGATCATATGGTTATCAACAAACAGAAGGACTTTCAGGCGCTGAATATTTGGCTTCTATTTATGGTACTGAAAAAGATAAAGTTAATTGTTCATTCTACTTTAAGGTTGGTGTAAATCAACACTTATATTTTTATGTGGAGTGAAAATCAGCAAAAAGTTGTGCAAGATGATCTGTTGATGGCAGTGTTTATTGTGAACATTAAAGATCTTCATATCCGTTGCAAATTTTTGAAAATTTTATTTTTGTAGATTGGTGCCTGTCGTCACGGTGATAAGTGCTCACGAACTCATCATCGACCAACATTTTCGCCAACCGTTTTACTTCAAAATTTTTACCACAATCCGATTGTTGACGTGCGTCAGGCAGATGCTTTCGACAGTAAGTTTCAGTCCTCCACTATGTTTTGAAGAGTTTGGTTGAACCGTTATCTCTTATAAAAAGTATAATTAAACCGTTTTCAGAGGTTGGGAAGAAGAATGACGAGGAGCAAGCTTATTTTGATGAGTTCTATGAAGAAGTGAGTAGTAACATTATTTTTATTTTCGATCTTTCTGTTACAAACTTTGTGAAGATTTTTTTTAGAGATTTCCGGGCTGCAATGCATGAAAATTCTATCAGATCATTTTTTGATAATCTAAAACTAGCTGGAGTGATTTAATAATATTTTTGGAGACATTTAGTGGAACATTCTAGGTGTTCACTGAACTGGAAAAGAAGTATGGTGAAATAGATGAGATGAATGTTTGTGAAAATATCGGTGAACATATGATCGGCAATGTTTATGTGAAATTCTTGCGGGAAGAAGATGCTGAAAAAGCTGTGAAGGATCTAGAAAATCGATGGTAAGTTAGAGAAATAGTTGTATTCTAACTGTTATACATTCGTAAGCCCCCGCATTGCATGTTTCAGGTTGTCATATAGATTCTATGGCATCGTGAAAATTTTGTTTTTCTTCCCGTTTCGATTTTTTGGACCCGGATTTTTGAGCACTTTTTCAGGGTTACCAAGAAAGTGGTGTAGTTGATAAAACTTCATTCTGAATTCCAGAATAGGGTAAGAAGTTGCATAAGCATGCTCTTGTAAACCGTTCTCCTATCGAAAACTGATGCTCAACTTGTTTAGATTCTCAACGTCGCTCTATCAGCGGTACCTGGCGAATCCAAATTAAATGGCTCATTGCTACAGCAGCAATCTTACCAACCATTTTTTTAGATATTGCATCTGATTCAATTATATTTAGATCCATAACACAAATTCTGTAGTCAAAAGTGCAACTTCTTAAGCAATCTTCTTTCCGGAAAGCAGTACTATGTTCTGGATCGGCCAGGAATATGTAAATTTAATGAAATTTCAAGAATTTAGTGAGCAACATAAACACTCATTCAGTCCTCAGTTTCACTAATTTAATCCTAATTTAGATATCTCATACATTCTCTGATGCAGTGACAGTCCCTAAAAAGGTAAATTGTTGTTGGTTAGGGTGTAGAGAAATAACTCCCTTTCTTTGTGGCTTTGAGTTATTCCTTAGGTGAGTTAGTGCAACCTGTTTTTTCTTTGTTGATTTTTATTTGATTTACTAGTAGTTTTGGCACCTTTTCTTTTTCGCAAATCTATTCCTTTAACATAATTAAAAAGTTTGAAATTTCAGGTTTAACGGACAACCAATATACGCAGAGCTCTCACCAGTGACAGACTTTCGAGAATCGCGTTGCCGTCAACATGAAGTGACCACTTGTTATAAGGGTGGATTTTGCAATTTTATGCATCTGAAAGCAATCAGTCCGGAGCTGGGAGAAAGGCTTTTTGGACGCAGGTACTTCACTTTTCCTATGAATCACATGTTCGTGTCAGGTTATGGCTTCCCGTGATTAGAGTTGATCTCTATTCCTGTTGTTTCATGGTTGAAATCTTGAATACTATGTAATCACCGAAGGAGAAACATAGTCACTCGAAAGAACATTACTAGTAGAAAATTCATCACTATAAACTTACTGCCTTTGCACGAAATATTTGCAGAGGTCGTTATGCAGATGAAGCAGGGCACTATCCAAGCGCAAAACGCGATCGTCGACGCGAACGTTCACCGCGCGATCGGTCTCGTGACGATTGGCGTGAGAGGGTACGTAGTCGACGATATTAACTTACTGTGCATATGACGTTTCTTTTTTTTTTTTTTTTTTTGTTTTTGTTTTTAACTTATGTTCGTTGTTGGATTTTGTCATTTTATATAGTTTTATATGTAATGAATATTGGGAGAGCGACTGCGACATTGTAAGCCCAACTTTGAGCAGTGCCTGGGTTCATTCACTGCTTTATCATTTTTTTTTTTTTTTCTTAAATATCTCTATGAATTCAAATATATTTAAATGAGAGATTAACTTTACTGAAATATGTTTTTGAGTCCCTGAATTGATATGCTTGACGTAGAGTTGCCGATATATTCGGAGGCCTTCTTTGTTTAATATTTGAAACCAGTAAATCCCTCCACTTTACAGAAAACGATTCAGTTCTTCAGCATAAAGTTAGACTACAAAACTATTTAAAGTTCCTTTTTCTCTTAGATGGAATTACTGGTTATCACTGATTTTAAAGCGATTGATACTGGTATGTTCATGTTGTTATCAGTTTTAGCTGCCGGAGCTAATCGGATTCCTACAACATTTTGACGTTCTGTATTATATTTCCCAAGTAATGAATGCTGCATTATTTGGTTATGGTTAATTTATTGCAGATTTTTTAATAAAACTTTTATTTCCAAAGGTCCAGTGTACTCCACAGCATCAGAATCTTTCGGATTATGTTTATCATTTCTCCTCTTTGTACTACTGGAAGTGTATGCTGGGCAATTCTAATTATGGCCAACTTGATGACCTACAGTTTTTATTTGTTATCTTGTCTCCTTTGCATCATAAGACCAACAACATCGAAGTCTTCTAGGATTTCTGCTTTTTCCGTAAAATATGGCTGCTCTTCGACTATGCCATATTTTTTGAAATCCTCCTTAGTTGGCATTCGAGTTGTTTCAGGATAAAGTACCTATAATATTACAACTTTCAGATCTCGATATCCGAAAAGAAAATAGTGTAAGAGTGTTCAAGAAGTAAAGAAGTATTTACTTCCTAAAAATTTTCTTAAGAAAAACCGCAGAGGATCTCATCATTATCTTCTTAGAGCATTCAAAGCGTCTGAGCTTCACAAGTAATGTAATGTACCTGTTTACTTTCGTCTGATGAAGTATGGCAGATGCGACCAATCATCGGAATAATATATTGATTACAAACAACCACATAAAATCGTAGCAAATGAGCTTCCAATTCGATGTTCGGTCCTCTCAAATTTTTATTCTCGAGGAAAATCATGTCATCTATAATCTCAACTCCCTAAAACATCATTCACATTGAAATATGATATACAAATAAATCTTTTTTTACAAAGAAAAGGTATGAATACAGAAAAGGAAACAAAAATAATCTTGAATTTCAATTTAGTAGATACTGAGATTGGAGCATAAGATGAGATATTTAAGGAATACTGAGGTTTATTGAGCGTAAGATGATGAAAAAAAAATGAAAAATTAAACATAAGATCAATAAGTCGGTCCGGTCAGTGCTAATCATGAATTATAAGTGAAACAGAGTACTTAGTTTTCTAAAAATGGAAAAGATAGTCCAAAAACAACGAAAAGCACCTCTTGTCGCAACGAAGCCTTAACGACCAATTTATCTAATAACCACGGATTTTCCATAGAAACTCGTAAAGATATGACTTTTTTGGTTAGTTCTCTTCCAAGTAATATGTAATCGTATGGAATGCGAATCCGTTTTTCCAACTCATCTTTCATTTTCTGAAAATAAAGCACATGAAGCAATCCTTTTTCACCTTATATCTTCATTTCTAAGATCATCAAATTTCCATTAGTTGCAGTCAAAAAATAGCAAAACAAACCTCCTTCATCTCTGCATAATACTGCAAATTGAATGGTGAAGCATATGCTGCCTTTTGTGTTAACAGCAAATTTGTTCGTGCAAGTCGACGATTCACTTCAACAACATCAAACTGATTACCAATACCTTAAACTTAAAGACTAAAATTTAAAACTAAAGATTTCAAAAACAATATTTAATTCATTCCTTTTTAATTACTTCCTGCTTTCATACTACTGACGTAGATGTAATTAACTGGTAACCAAAAAAATCCACAAAACGATTTCAGATTACTTGGATCATTCACTCAATAATTAAAAGTTCTACAGATAATCGAACTTTTCAGATAACATACTTGAAAAGCATGAAATTTGTTCGTTAAAAATTCTCTAGGAGATAAATCAAATATAAGTCAGTCCAGGAAAACTTTCTGTGTTTTAACAAGTTATAGAAAATGATGGCATGTAACTGATGTTCTTTTTTATCATACGGAAACATTGCAATTCTTGGAATGCGCTTAGTATTTACATGATAAATCAAGACGCTGCATCTTATCTATTAACTAACCTTCTACATCTTTGAGTAAAATAACTTTGAGAGGTCCAGGTGATTTCAAATCCTCAATTTCTACAACTTCGAGCTTCATAAGATCTGGATGTTCGGCCGGATTTCGTTGCATATATCCCGGCTGTGTTGGTTCTGGAGTAAGAACTCTCCGTAGAACCCATGTGAACTACAACAATAAGTAATTGAATCAAGAGAAATTATCTATCATTAAGACACAAATAAATCAAACTCTCGCAGGTGGGACAAACAATAATAAAGAAAAGTCATTTAACAGCAAAGAAATAATCAGTGAAATGAAAAAAAAAAAAAACTTAGTACTCCAGAAATAAGTTCGATGGAAGAAAAAAAAAAGCACAGAATTAGAAGTAATTGAATTTATGTTCGAATGATAAAATTAAAATTTGAAATCACTTACTCACCCGATATTGCAAAATTGTATTGTTCGTAAGATTACTGAGACGTTTGAAAAGTGATAGAGAAAGCATTGAGAATTCCTTTGGGAAGCCAATTCAACTTTTTTTTTTCAGAAGTTTTATGCACAGCAAATTTTTAATGTAATTGTGAACAATGAAATGAATTGTGTGAACATCGATCAATAATATCAAATTAAATTTTCTTTTTTACACGACGAACTGTGCAGCTGCAAATTATTTTTTGTAATAATTTAAATTAACTGACTTCACTTTTTATGGTAATTTCATTCAATTATTAACCTTCAATCCCAGATGTTATTTTTATTTCCAAAGAAAATTTCCATTATCATTCAAAAAAAAAAAAAAAAAAAAATACTTGAGAAAATGGAGAAATGTTACATCTAAAATGGAAGGAAAAAAAAAAAAAACAAACAAACCTTCCAACGCAATCCATCCATACACTTCACGTAAAAAAAAAAAAGAGATAAAACTAATTCAGGTTAGGTTGATAATCGAATAGCGATTGTCGAAAATTTGTAACGTGATCGATGGTAAATTCTCCGTAAATTTACTTACGTGAGAATTGAGTAGGCTATAGTTAGTTATTTAGTGTTCAGATTATTTGTTAAAGATTAAGTAGTCATCCAAGATAGGATTATTTAAACTCTGAACAATATCAGAAGTTCCCTCTGTCTCGATTTCACTGATGCAAATTTCTCTGAGAGAGAATGTTAGCTCTCTCTCTCTCTCTCTCTCTCTCTCTCTGTCCCTCTCTATCATTTATTTCTTTATCATATACCAATATATTCTGAATTTATTACTCTAGTTTATCATATATCAATATAGATATTCTGAATTTATTCGTTAAAACGTTTGCAATTTTACTGGTTGTTATGAGTAAAAGAATTTTTATTGGTGACAAATTTTAAATGCAACAAAGACAAATAGAATTTTCAGTTGAGACAAAAGTGAATTTTACTGGAAAAAACGAATTAATCTTTTTCTTTTTTTTTTCTTCGATCTTTCTGTCATATATTTTTGTTACATTCAAGTATCACTTTAATATTAATGTGTTTCATTTTTCTAGAATTGCCTAAATTCGTAAAATTATAATAATACTAATAAAATGATACAATCAAAAAATTCATATCACTTTGTTTACATATTTTATTTTTTTTTTTTTTTATAAATAACAAACTAATTAAATAAAAAAAAAAATTGTTTTTTTTTATTTGTATCTTTCATTCATCAGTCGTTATTGATGAAATTACTTTCGCAAATTCTTTACCTAAATTTTTGTTTATTAAAAAATTCTTATCCAAATATTTGACTAATTCTCTCATAGAGATCATTCTTCTTTCTTTTCCTCATTTTCTGTCCTGAAATGCACAACTTTAATTTCAAAATTACTATAATATTTTTCTACAGCTTATGTTATAGAAAGTAATTAGATCGTATAAATGATGAAAACGAAATGTTTTTCTTTTTTCTTTTCTTCTTTTCAAAGATTTAATGTCAGTAAAAATTGAGTCATACACAGAGATATTATTTAATTAATTTATTTATTTAAGTTATCTATTTACTTATGTATATATTTGTTTATTTCGTTTATTTATTTGTTTAGCCAGTTAATTAATTAATTAATTATTTAATTAATCTATTTATTCATGCACTCATTTGTTATTTATTTGTTTATTATTATCATTATTAATTATTATTATTATTAATTTATTATTATTATTATTGTTATTGTTATTATTATTACTATCATTTAATTGATTAATATTTTTAATATTATTATTATTTATTCATGCATTTATTTATTACTTAATTATTCGTTTATTATTATCATTAATTATTTTTTTTTATTATTATTATTTGTTATTATCAATTATTATTATTATTGTTATTGTTATTATTACTATCAATTAATTTGCTAATATTTTTAATATTACTACTGTTATTGCTATTAATTGTTACTATTATTATTATTTTTATTATTACTATTACTGCTGTTATTATTACTATTATTACTATTACTACTGTTATTATTATTATTATTACTATTACTACTGTTATTATTATTATTTATTCTTTAATTGCAATGGTAGTTCAATCCTTGAGAGAGGAGAGAGAGAGAGAGAGAGAGAGGGAGGGAGGGAAAGGACAAAAAAGATCTGTGATAGTTTGTCAGTTACTATCAGATGGTGTACTATCAGTTTGCAACTTTCTTCTTT